TTTGCAATTCAGCAATTTAGTGAGGCCCTGTCTCAAAAATAAATAAATAAATAAATAAAATTAAAAAGACCTGGGGATGTCAGTCAGTGCAAAGGCTCTGGGTTCAATCCTCAGTACTGGGAATGAGGGGGTGCAAAAGTACTTGAAATTAACCTTCTGGCCAGGACAGTTAGGTTTGCTGCCCAAATACAACTACATATTTGTAATTAAAACATTACAAAATCCTGACTTCACATCATTATCTTCAAGGACAGTCCCATCTGGGCTCTCTTTAGCAGACTACACATTCTACATAATTAAATGCTGCCCTTCACTTTTGAGGAAATAAGGCAAACAGAGAAGGAAGTGAAAGGTGGGGAAGTCTTCATAATTAATCTGAAACAAATAGATGCCTGAGTATTTTTTTTTCCCTGAGAGCTATTCTTTTCCAAGCAAGTTTATGGGAAGGATGTATGCTTGTTTCTGTGAGTTGATGCTAGGGCACCTGCCAACACTTTCACCTCATGCTCTGACCAAAATTGGAGCATGTGGGTCAGTTCCAGCACTCACAGGGTATCAGGTAGATAGTACGCATGTGTGATTTTGGTAGAGTGCCCCCATGAACAAATTTACAAACTGCAATCCCTAGAGATTTATAACCACCTTGGCCCTGAGAACCACTCAGCAATCTGGCATCTAATCAATAGGGAATGCGGATGTGCTCTGGCTGGTTTCACCAGCTGTTTGCCATTACATCACATGATGTCACTATCTGGGCACTGCAAATGGAGAGGGATCTCAAGGAAAGGGGATTAGAAGAAAATGAAAATGGGCTCAGCTCCACTACCCCACAGCCATCCTGCTCTTCTCTAAGTATTCTACCTCTCTGTTCTGGAGCTAAAGTCAATATTCTGCTTAAAAGGTATTTTTAAAAATTATCACAAAAAATTCCCCCACTTAAAAAGAAAACAAGAACACACACACACACACACAAAGAAAAGAAGAGAAAGAGAACGTTTCCCTGACTTCAATAATCTTATGCAGACTAGAGGTTTTTCATAAGTTCCAGGAACCACTTTCCAGAGTTTTCTGGGTATTTGGTGCAGAGCAACCTCAGCTGCACTGAGATGCATCTGAGCCACCCCAGAGGGAAGAGGGAAGCCAAGCTGCAGCCTTCTGAACCCTGCTTGCACCTATTTTATCAATGTTCTGGATAAAGTTTGCTTAGAAAAAGAAAAGACAAAGGTGACTTATTAATTTTTTAAAATTTAAAAATCATTAATACATAAATACTGTAGTATGCATGACAGTAATTGTGGTCAGAGCTACTTCAGGGCCCTTTCTACCACTGGCACTCTTCAGGTCCATTTTCCATAGAGAATAGAGTTTAATAGTCATTTTCTGCTGACATGCAAGGTGGAGGAGAGGGCATGCTCCAGTCTCGAGATGTGAATTCTTGGCTGGTTTGCCTGCAAGTTTTTGTGATGGTTTCTTTTCTTTCTTTTTTTTTCATGATGGTTTTTATCCAGGTGCCCCCCCCCCCATGCATAGGCAGGGCTTTCGGAAGGTGACCGAGTCTTGGGGGCAATATAGCTGATTTGCTGTGAGGAGGCAGAGTCTGGCTGGAAGAGGCAGTCACTGGTCCCCAGACTTGACCTGGAAGGGTACATACCCTGTCTGTTCCCCCCTTCTCTTAGTGCTTCCTGGCCTCTCTAATGTGAGAAGCCTTCCTCTGCCAGA